CGTAACTCCTCTCTCCATCACAGCCACTGTTCGCCCTTTTGTTTTTGTACTGACCACGACCAACATTCTTACGTCAGTGCCTTCAGTGCGGTGTCACTGAAGAGGTAAGCATGGTAGCGCCAGCTTGATATTTTGAAAGTGTCAACGATTCCTCGAAATTTGCTCCAAACTACAATCAGCTGCGTATAACCTTCGATCGGAAACTGTTGCGCATATTTACTTATTTCTCCTCGAAATTCTAACATTCGCCTAAGTTATAATAGCAGAACAGAGTGGAGTTTCAAACTGACTCCAAGCCATTTGCCTTCTGTAAACTTAGTGAAAACTTCCGAATTCTGCCTTGGTACTTTTGTCTGCTCTCTAGTTCACAATATTTTTAATGCGTTTTTTGCATCTATTCCATGCAGAAAACGCATATTGACGACAGCTTGTCTGTGTGTGTGTGTCTGTGTGTGCGTCTGTGTCTGTGTGTTCGTCTGTACCGATTTTTCATCTCGAGACCTACAAAAGCTACAGGGCTGAAATTTTGGGAACTTGATGTACATGCATGTACGGGCCCTAATCCCCAAAATGGGCACTCTTACCCGCGTGGTACCCACGTGCAGGCCCGCCAAAGTTTTTTACGGGCAAGCTACTGACTTGGAAACCAGGGAAGCTGGAAAACTGAAAAAAAAAAATTCTAAGGGTGCGTTCCCCGTCCACGTAGGTCGTAAGGAGTTCAAGCACAGCCCTCGGGTATGCGTGGCAACCACGTATGCGCCCGCCGAAGTTTTTTTCGGGTAAATTGCTAACTCGAGAACCTGAGAAGCTAGAAGACTAGAATTTTTAGGGGATGTTCCACGTCCACGTGAGTCTCAATGAACTCAAACCCAGACATCGGGTATGCGTCGTCCCTATGTACGATCCCGTGAATTTCTTGCGGGTAAGTTGCTAACTCGGGAACCACGAAAGCTAGAAAGCTGAAATTTTAAAGGGATGTTTCCTAACAGTCCTGGTGGCTAGTCTCAATTCTTTTAGCTAGAAGCATTTGCCGGAAAAACTAGTGCCGCTGGCAACAAAAATCTGCGGGGAGCTATGCAAAAAACGTATCTTCGCACCGGCAGTCGGTGCGCTAGTCATTTTCTGATTTTGGATTTGAGATTATGGGCGAGGGCACAGAGTAATCTGAAGTATGGCTTCGGATCGCGGCCTTGCACTTTCTTGGAGACGATGTTCTTCTCTCGAAAATTTAACTTGGTTATCTGCACGTGCTTTGCGTGAGGTTGCAAGTAGTTGGATTTTAGTTCCGAAGTACCTTCCCATCGCCCCCCCCCCCTCTCTTTCCGTAACTCATCCATTTTCGCTTTGTTCGTGCCAGGGTACTTCCACTACTTATAAGCAGTGGTGCGTTTTGCAGGCTTACTTAGTTTCCACACGTTTCTATCCTACATGGACGATTTTGGTGATCTTTCATATAGTTCTGAGTGTATTCGTTTGCAGCGGAAGAATTTTGGAGTTTATAAGAGACAGTTTTCCTGCACCGAGTTTTTACCTTTAGACAGCTTATCTGTGCCAATTCCCCGTCTCCTGGCTTCCTTCAGCACTTTCTTGTCCCTCCGCACCGAGGTAGAGTGCATCAGCAACACAGCCACTTGGGTACCTTCTGAGTGCTAAAATGAAAAAGCTTGCGCGAACTGTCCTATGTAAATCTGCCGCACTTCTTTTCGAAATGTTGAAAAGGGCGGAGGGATAAGGAGAACGGGCGAAGAACGTTAGAATTTAGATCTTGAGGCCTGCCAGAGATGCAGAGCTCATTTTGAAGATTGTGGAGGACAGTTGGCTGTGGAAAGCCGACGAGAAGGGGTTGCTAGCCGCAACAACAGCTCTTCCAGAAATAGTCGAATGTCCGCTGAGGCCTCGTTCCGTTCTAGAAGGTTGGTCGTTTTATTGATCCTTTTGAGTTCCGGTGCCTGCCTATTTCCCCAGCAGCTTTGCTTTTTCAAATGCAATGTAAGGAATGGCACGATGATTTGTTCGCATAGTTGTAAAAAAACGAGTATCGTCTTCCTCTGACTGGGACCAGACGTCTAGGCGCTGTAAACCTCACATCTTCTGCATCAGAGGGGGACTGACTGACTGGGAATATCTGAGTTCATCTTTCCTGGATTGGAATGTTTCAAGAAATAGTGACTCACACATGCAAAGTGATATAACCATTGAGTTTTTACATGAAGCTATTGCGCTCGCACACTAGGCGTTTCTGAGGCAATACATGCAGCGATTGGTTTTACTTCAAAATGAACTTTCAAGTTATTTATGGAAGTGCCAAATTTCCG